GATTAAGGACATGGAAAGAATACAGGCAATCCAATAAAACAAACAGATTGGACAATAATTGAAGAATATATTGAAAATTGGTCCAAGGACAAGTAATTATAGAAACAGGTAACAAACTTAGAAGTATGAAGATATTGAAAAAGATGGACACAGGGGCAGAGCCGGAAGGAGGTCCAAATTTTTGTGTGTTTATTTTTTTTCTTTTTTTTCCTGTTGCTCTCTTTTTTTCTTTTTTTTTTGAGAGTGCCGGGGTTATGTATATTCTTTGCTTTTTGTTTTTTCCCCACTTTTCCTACTTTTCTATCTTCTTCATATTATTCTCCCTCTTTCGTTGTAGTAGTAGTTAATAAAAACCTAATAAAAATTTATTTTAAAAAAAGAATTGAAATAAAATTAAAGAATTTAAAAGAAATTAAAGAAATTAAATTAAAGAATTTAATTTAAATTAAAGAATTTAAATTGAATTAAAGAATTGAAATTAAATTAAATAGCTCAAATGAAATTAAATAATTTAAAATAAATTAAATAATTTGAATTAAATTAAATAATTAAAGTAAAATAAAATAATTTGAATTACATTATCAAAATTCAATCAAACAATTATATAATTACATTAAATTACATTACATTGATTAAACACCTGGAAGCATCCAGTCACGACTAGAGCGGGTATAGAGGAAGGGAGCCAAAATGAAGACCTAAGAAGGAATATGAATTAAATTCAATTGCCTAACAACACAAGCAAACACTTTCCCATTGAATGGGGTCCCAAATAATGCAAAACTGCCCTTCCTTTGCAATAACTTCAGAGTTTAGCCTGTCGGGACACAGTCGAAAAGGCAAAGGGTGCATCTGCTCTGCAGATTTTATGGGGTTTGACACCACTTTAACATGCCAATGGGAGCCTCAAAATCTACCCATTGAGTGCTTTTCTCTTCCTTGGCTTTGCTTGATAGCAAAGCAAACAAATGGTAATTGTTAAAGGAATTAAAAATATATATTTGGGTTTTTTTCCCCGGTACTTTCCAACAGCAATGACGTATCGATAATAAGGCAAGGACAGAAAGACTTAATCATTCTCATTAATCTCTTCTGAGCCCTGAACCGAGAGCAGAAGAGAGCTTTGCATCTCTTCCAGGAAATCGGATGCTTATCTGCTTTTTCTTACTCCACCGGGATCTATACTGCCATGTAATCTAGATCAGTCATTTGCAAACTTGGGCCCTCCAGGTGTTTTGGACTGCAACTCCCACAATTCCTAACAGCTTCAGGCCCTTTCCTTTCCCCCCTCAGCCGCTAAGCGGCTGAGGGGGGAAAGGAAGGGGCCTGAAGCTGTTAGGAATTGTGGGAGTTGCAGTCCAAAACACCTGGAGGGCCCAAGTTTGCAAATGCCTGGTCTACACTATTATATAATCCAGATCAAATAAGGTAATCTGAATTTTGTATGGCAGTGTATCAGGGGTCCCACGCAACTGATTTTGTATTCTGCACAGTCAAGAAGGGAAGCGCCATGCGCACCCGAAGGCAGCAGTCTAGCTTCATCATTTTGAAAGCGAGTGCCCCAATGGGCATTGTTAGGCGGTTGTAATCACATAGGGAAAGTGTCCTTATTGAACCACGTATGATCCAATCTCCAAATATTTGTTGCCAGTGTATGCTGTGGGTCCAATTAATAGATCTATAACAGTGGGTCGGGACCCCTAGAGGGTGGTGAAGGGTTGTCAGCATGGACGCCAAAGACCATCAGACAACATCATGGCAGAAAGGGCAGAAATCTATCACAGAATCATAGTTTGGGAGGGGCCCCAAAGGCCATCCAGTCCACCCCCTTCTGCCATAAAGGACACAAGCTAATCCCTCCCGACAGATGGTGCCCCACGCAAGAGAAATATGGTACACTATGGTACACTAGCCGTCCCCTGCCATGTGTTGCTGTGTATATGTGTTTTCTGTGTGTATATATGTATGTGTGTGTATATATTTGTGTTTGCATATAGGTGTATATATGTGTGTGTGTATATATATATTGTGTACATACTGTGTACATATTTGTGTATTTGTGTGTTTATATGTGTACATGCATATTGTGTATATGTGTGTGCTTGTCTATATGCATACTTGTGTGTCTATATGTATGTATGTGGATATGTATATGTGTATATGCATGTGTATATGTATATATGTATGTGTGCATGTATACGTATGTGTGTATATGTGTATATTTGTGTGTATTTGTGCACATATATATACATGTGTATGAATGTGTGCATGTGCATATGTGTATGAGTGCATGTGTATATGTATATATGGTGTATTTTGGGGTATCTAAGTCTGTTCCGCTGGGGTTGTGTGTGTGTGTGTGTGTTTATGGGTGATGGACACTCATTGGATTGTTAGGTGTATTGTGTCCAAATTTCGTGTCAATTAGTCCAGTGGTTTTGAGTTATGTTAATCCCACAAACGAACATTACATTTTTATTTATATGGATGAGTCACATTTAAACAGAGTTCCCTATGTCGCCCAATCTGTTTCATCCTCTGACCTTACAGTGGACTGCATTGTCTTCAATGAGGAAAGTCTGACCTGCAACTGGACCAGCAAGGAAAAACTGACTGCCAACTACACGCTGTATTACTGGTATGTATCCCCTTCTCTGCCTTATTTTCTGCCCTCCTTTGCTGCAATTCGCCCTTTTATTCCAGCTTCAGAGAGTCTCCAAGGAGAACTCAGGAAGTCGGGGGTTTTGCTCCCTATTTCAGAACAAAACTTGCCTGGGAGTCTAATGGAGTCTCTTTCTCTGGAGGTTTTTAAGCAGAGGCTAAATGGCCATCTATCTGGAGGGATCAGATTGTGTCTTTCTGCCTAGCAGGCGAGGGTTGGACTGGATGGCCTTTTGGCGTCCCTTAAATAATCTATGCTTCTATTATAATCATAGAGTATAGTGTGTGTATCACATCTATGGCTGGATGGCCATCTGTCAGGAGGGATCAGATTGTGTCCTTTATGGCAGAAGGGGGTGGTCTGAATGGCCTTTGGGGTCCCTCCCAAATCTATGATTCTGTGATAGATATGTCATAGAATATAGTGTGTCTATCTATCACAACTATGGCTGGATCGCCATCTGTTGGGAGGGATTGGATTGTGTCTTCCTGCCTGATAGAATGGGGGTGAGCTGGATGGACTTTTGGGGTCTCTTAAAAAATTATGCTTTTCTGATAATTGTAAAATATAGTGCATTTTTCACATCTGTGGCTGGATGGCCATCTGTCAGGAGGGATTTGATTGTGTCTTCCCTTGTGGCAGAAAGGGAGTTGAACTGGATGGCCTTTGGGGGTCTCTCCCAAATCTATGATTCTGTGATAAATATATAATAGAATATTATGCATCTTTCGCACCTGTGGCTGGATGGCCATCTATTGGGAGGGATCAAATTGTGTCCTTTATGGCAGAAAGGGGTGGACTGTATGGCCTTTGGGGGTCCCTCCCAGTTCTATGATTCTGTGATTCAGTTCTCATTTTCTTCAAGAGCTAGATAAATAATAGAATATAGTGTGAGTATATCTATCACATCTATGGCTGGATGGCCATCTGTCAGGAGGGATCAGATTGTGTCCTTTATGGAAGAAGGGGGTGGACTGGCTGGCCTTTTGGGGTCCCTTAAAAATTTATGCTATTATGATAATTGTAGAATATAGTGTGTCTATTTATCATACCTATGGCTCGATGGCCATCTGTCAGGAAGGATTGGATTGTGTCTTCCCACGTGGCAGAAAGGGGGTTGGACTGTATGGTCTCTGGGGGTCCCTCCCAGATCTATGATTCTGTGATTCAGTTCTCATTTTCTTCAAGAGCTAGATAAATCATAGAATATAGTGTGTGTGTATCTATCACATCTATGGCTGGGTGGCCATCTGTCGGGTGGGATTACATTGTGTCCTTTATGGCAGAAGGGGGTGGACTGGATGGCCTTTGGGGCCCCTCCCAAAACTATGATTCTGTGATAGATATAGAATATGGTGTGTCTATCTGTCACAACTATGGCTGGATCGCCATCTGTCAGGAGAGATCAGATTGTGTCTTCCTGCCTGACAGAATGGGGGTGAACTGGATGGACTTTTGGGGTCCCTTAAAAAAATCTATGCTTCTATGATAATCATAGAGTATAATATGCCACTGTCTGTCTAGCTCATCTATGGCTGGATGGCAATCTGTCAGGAGGGATTGGATTGTGTTCCTTATGGCAGAAGGGGGGTGGACTGGCTGGCCGTTTGGAGTCCCTTAAAAATGTATGCTATTATAATTGTAGAATATAGTGTGTCTATCTATCATACGTATGGCTGGATGGCCATCTGTCAGGAGGGATTGGATTGTGTCTTCCTGCATGGCAGAAAGGGGGTTGGACTGTATGGCCTTTGGGGGTCACTCCCAGATCTATGATTCTGTGATTCAGTTCTCATGTTCTTCAAGAGCAGGTCTTTTGTAAACCTAATGATTTGGACTCCAAAGCTGTCCTTTGTTTCTCCAGTGTTGCTCAACTGAAATTGCTTATGGAATTATTATTGTTTATATGTAAGTTATATTAATTGTACTGTTATATTTGCTTGCTGTTTTGTTTTTACTGATGTGTTGTTGGGCTTGGCCTCATGTAAGCCACCCCGAGTCCCCTTGGGGAGATGGTGGAAGGGTATAAATAAAGTTGTTTATTATTATTATTATTATTATTATTATTATTATTATTATTATTATATTGCTCCTTTTCCCTTAGGATCGAAAACTATAAATTCTATAGAGAGTGTCCGCATTACTTCCAAAGGGACGATGGCCTCAACACGGGGTGCCAATTCAACCTCTCCGTGAAGGATCTCCTCTATTCTAAATTCCATGTTTATATCAACGCGAGTCACGGTGGAGCCGTTTCCAAGGATTACAGGACCCTGCTGGAGCGAGGTGGGGATTCGGAGCATGCCGTTCGCATGGGATTCAGAACCACCCCTGCATTTGGGGAGCCTGGCCATTAAATAAGGGGGCCTTTGCAACTTGACAACACTTGAACTTTCCTGGCTCCATGCTGTGGAGCTGCCATTTGCACTCTCAAGACCTTGGAAAACTACGCCTCTCGATTTCACTCCCATTTCTCTCTTTTCTAGTGAAACCTGGATCCCCTTTCAACCTCTCCATCCAAACCCAGGACAACCACCAGTTACTGCTGAGCTGGGATTCGCCCTACAGTCATCCACATTACTTGGAACACAAGGTCAAGTACAAGAGCAACAAGGACGCAAGCTGGACGGTAGGTTGAAGAACCCTAAGCCCCATCCCAACCCCCAGGTTGGAAATCCAGGGGAAATGTGGGCACCTTCTATCCCAGGTAAGGGCAAACTCTCTAACTTGGGGGCTGCATGGTAGGCCGGAGTGGGGTTAGGGGCTTCTCCCCCACTTCCCCTCCCTGCCCTTCCTCTTCTCTTTCGGAAGCAGAAAGTGAAGGAAAGACAGGAAACGTCTGGATCCCAAAAGGGTTGGCCTTGCTCAGGATGAGAGAAAAAGTGCATCCATGAGACCCCCTATTGCAGCGTTTCTCAACTTGGAAGTCGGGATGGGGGTTGCAATGGGGTCGCCAAAGTCCATCAGAAAACATGGTATTTTCTGTTGGTCATGGAGATTCCGGTGGGAAGTCTGGCCCAATTCTATTGTTGTTGGGGTTCAGAATGCTCTTTGATTGTAGGTGAACTATAAATCCCAGCTACTACAACTCCTAAATGTCAATGTCTGTTTTCCCCAAACTCCACCAGTGTTCACATTTTGGCACATTGAGGATTTGTGCCAAGTTTGGTCCAGATCCATCATTGTTTGAGTCCACAGTGATCTCAGGATGTAGGTGAACTACAACTCCCTTCCAATATTTTCTGTTGGTCATGGGAGATCTGTGTGCCAAGTTTGGTTCAATTTCATCGTTGGTGGAGTTCAGAATGCTCTTTGATTGTAGGAAAGGCAAAGGGGAAGGAAGGAAAAAAGGATGGAGAGGAAGGGAGAGACAAAAGGGTGGAAGGGAATGGGGAGAAGGAGAAGGGGAAGGATATGAAGGGAGGGAGGAAAGAGAGAAGGAAGAAAGGAAAAGGGAAGGAAGGAAGGAGAAAGAGAGAGAGGGAAGGGGGAGGAAAGGGCGAAGGAAGGAAGGACAAAAGGGTGGAAGGGAAGGAAGGATGGAAGGAGGGAGAAAGGAAGGGAAGGAAAAGAGCGGGAAAAAGAGAGAAGGAAGGAAGGAAAAATAAGGAAGGAGGAGTAAGAGGGAGGGAGGAAAGAGGGAAGGATGAAAGGACAAAAGGGTGGAAGGAAATGGGGAGAGGGAGAAGGGGGGAGGAAATGGAGGGAGGGAGGAAAGAGGGAAGGAAGGAGAGAAAAGGGAAGGAGGGAGGAAAGGGAGAAGGACGAAAGGACAAAAGGGTGGAAGGAAATGGGGAGAGGGAGAAGAGAGAAGGAAGGAAAGAAAAGGGAAGGCATGAGAAAGAGGGAGAAAAGGAAGAAGGGAGGAAAGGGGAAAGGAATGAAGGACAAAAGGGTGGAGGGAAGAAGGATGGAAGGAAGGAGAAAGAAGGAAGAAAAGAGGGAAGAAAGGAAGGAATAAGGAAGGAAGGAGAAAGAGGGAGAGAGGGAAGAACGAGGGAAGGATGAAAGGACAAAGGGGTGGAAGGGAATGGGGAGAGAGAGAAGGAGGGAGGAAATGGAGGGAGAGAGGAAAGAGAGAAGGAAGGAAAGGAAGAACAGGGAAGGAAGGAGAAAGGGAGAGAGGGAAGGAGGGAGGAAAGAGGGAACGAGAAAAGGGTGGAAGGGAATGGGGAGAAGGAGGGAGGATATGGAGGGAGGGAGGAAAGAGAGAAGGAAGAAAAGAAAAGGGAAGGAAGGAGAAAGAGAGAGAGGGTAGGAGGGAGGAAAGGCAAAGAAAAAAGGACAAAAGGGTGGAAGGGAGGGAAAGATGGAAGGAAGGAGAAAGGAAGGGAAGGAAGAGAGGGGGAAAGAGAGAAGGAAGGAAAGAAAGAATAGAGAAGGAAGGAGAAAGGGAGAGAGGGCAGGAATAGGGAAGAGGGAAGGATGAAAGGGTGGAAGGGATTAGGGAGAGGGAGAAGGAGGGAGGAAATGGAGGGAGCGGGCGTCCACGCGACAGACGGTAGCAACGCCGGGAAGGAAGGGAAGAATGGAAGGAGGAAGAGGGAGAGATGAAAAGAGGGAGGAAACAGGGAAGGAAGGATGGAAGGAGAAGGGAAGAGAGAAAGGGAAAGAGGGAGGAGAGAGGGGGGAACGAGCAGGCCGAACAGACCAGAATAGTGACGGCAGGAAGGCCTGGCCAGGAAGGCGAAAGGCAGGGAAGGCCCCGCGCGGGCAGGATCGGACACGGCGGACGAAAGAGGGCGCAGAGGGACGAACGCGGGACGGATGCCGACCAAGGGGTGGCCGGGCAATGGGGAGAGGCGAACGGAGGGAGGAAATGGAGGGGCGAGAAGGCCGGAGAAAGAATTGGGACGGGGCGAACGGTCGGGAGAGGGGGGAGGAGGGAGGACAGGGCAGGCCACCCGGTGTGGCCGGGCCATGGGGCGGGGGAGTAGGGGCGGCTCTTGCGGGAGGGACAGGGGGGGGGAGGGGGGGGGGGGGGGGGGGGGGAGGGAAGGAAGGAAGGAAGGAAGGAAGGAAGAAGGAAGGAGAAAGGAGGGAAGGAAAGGAGGGGGAAGAAGAAGGAAGGAAAGGAGGAAGGAGAAAGAGGGAGAGAGGGAAGAGGGAGAAGGAAGGAAAAAGGGTGGAAGGGAATGGGGAGAAGGAGGGAGGAATGGAGGGAGGGAGGAAAGAGAGAAGGAGAAAAGAAAGGAAGGAAGGAGAAGAGAGAGGGAGGAGGGGAGGAAAGGCAAAAGGAGAAAAGGGTGGAAGGAAGGAAGGAAGGAAGGAAGGAAGGAAGGAAGGAAGGAAGGAAGAAGGAAGGAAGGAAGGAAGAGGGAGGAAGAGAGAAGGAGGAAAGGAAGGGGAGAAGAAAGGGAGAGGGGAAGGAAGGAGAGAGGGAGGGAGAAGGGTGGGACGGGCTTAGGGACGAGGGCGACGGCGGGCTGAAATGGGGGAGGGCAAGGAACGCGCAGACGAAGCACCCGAAACGGGCCGGGCAGGAGAGAGAGAGAGGGAAGGCGGAGGAAAGGCATGAGACAGGAAGGAACAGAGGATGGAACGGAGCAACGCAGGGCGGGCCGCAGGGAGGGAGTGAAAAAGAGACTGAAGGCAAGAAAAGGGAAGGAGGGCGAAAGACCGAGCACGGGAAGGAGTGGAGGACAGGGGAATGCCAGACAAGAAGGAGAAGTGGAAGGAAAAAGAGGGAGGGAAGGAAGGGAGGGAGGAAAGAGAGAAGGAAGGAAAGAATAGGGAAGGAAGGAGAAAGGGAGAGAGGGAAGGAGGGAGGAAAGAGGAAATTGAAGGAAATGGAGAGAGGAGAAAGAGGGAATGAGGAAAGAGAGAAGGAAGGATGAATGGTGGAAGGGAAGGAAGGATGGAAGAGAAAGGTTTGGAAGGGAGGGAGAGAAGGGGAAGGAACGCAAGAATGAAGGAAGGATAGGATGGTGAGAGAGAGGAGAGCCTGAGAAAAGAGTTCAAGGGGCCACATCCGGCCCCTGGGCCTGGGTTTGCGCATTTCCTGTTCTATCCTGTGTGATAGCCATGTAAAAGGGCCCAGAAACACACATGACATTAGAAGAAATTGCGCAAGTTACATTTGAAATGAGACCTGAACTCTTATCTTCTTGAGATGTTAGATGATCAACTCGATAGGAAATGCATAGAATTATTATTCATGACAACGGCAACAAGAATGATCTTTGCTCAAAAACGGAAAGACGATTTCGACACAGGACAATTTGCTTCTCAGCATACTTACGAAAATGGATTAACTTCTTATGTGGCTTAAGGAGAGATCTCTAACTCACTTTAAGCAAGATTGGGGCCCATCTCCCTAACCCTGCTTTCCCCTATGGCTTCCCAGGAGCAAACTGTCGACAGGATGCAGTTCAGCCTGCCCAGCGTGGATCCGGAGAAGTTCTACACCTTCTATGTCTCTAGCAAGGTCAAGGACATCTTTGGGGAGACGGACTTGTGGAGTGACGTGGCCGGCCCCATCCACTGGGGGAAAGGTCAGTGGGGTCCACTGCCAGGGTACCGCAGTTGAAGGAGGGTGTTGAGATTAACTTCACAATTCAGCAGCAGATCAGTTGCACAACTTCAGCGCTTTCCAGTAGCTTCTTCCTGCACAATATTTTCAGTCAACTGCTCCCACAGCCTGCAGTCGCTCTGGAACCTTTTACAGACACTTGAGCACATGCCCAGCCATTGTCAGTTTTACCATTGTCTTTCCCCCAGTCTAGATGACATTACAAACTTACCACAGCACACAGTTATATCTTGTCTTAGCAGACAGGTTCTTTTAATAAATTACATAGAGCCTTCAACGAACAACATCACAGCACAAGGAGAGAGAGATACACTGTACATGACTTCCTTATATACAATTCTATACAATTACACATAGGAATCTCTGATTGGTTCCCAACGCATTAACTTAACTCAGACCAAGGATTACATCATTCACAATCACCTGGACTAGGCCAGAACACATTCCCCAAACGATTCCCTATATACAGTTAATGCATGACTCAGCATTTCCAATAGAAGCCCATTAGCAGTGCATGACTCAGCTATATTACATTACAATACATTGTAAAACCTGTAAGAGGGGATTGCCATGTGTAAATATCAGAAAGGAGACCATAAGGAAGAGGGAGCAGGACTAGGACTCAATGGACTCAATGCACTCTTCCTTCAGTGAAGAAACCCCATTGTTTATCTTACTCGAATCTCCAACTAGACACACCATTCTATTTCTCTATTTCACCCAAGGGTTTTATAATTGTATAATGTCAACCTTTGTATTTGGCCAGCTCACCTTGTTTAATTCTTTTTCACTTTATACTATCTGCTATTATGTTATTGTCTTTACTTTATTGTATCATTTGGTTATTGTTCACATTTTATTTGATGTTATTGTTTATATTATTATTATATTATATGATTATTAATTATAATAATTATAATATATAACTATAATTATAATAATGATATATAATTAATAATTAATATATAATTATTAATTATTAATTATATATTGTATAATAATAATATATTGTTGTTGTTGTTGTTGTTAATGGAGCCATGGGTTATTTATTTATCGTGTCATCAGCAACCAGACTTTTGTATTATATTTTTAACAAAAACAAACAAACAGACAGACAAATTAATTAAAGATTAAATGACCAGTATCTGGCCACTTGGAGTGCCTCTGGTGTTGCCGCAAGAAGGTCCTCCATTGTGCATGTGGCAGGGCTAAGGCTGCATTGCAGCAGGTGGTCAGTGGTTTGCTCTTCTCCACACTCGCATGTCGTGGATTCCACTTTGTGGCCCCATTTCTTGAGGTTGGCTCTGCATCTCGTGGTGCCAGAGCGCAGTCTGTTCAGCCCTTCCAAGTCGCCCAGTCTTCTGTGTGCCCAAGGGGGAGTCTCTCATTTGGTATCAGCCATTGGTTGAGGTTCTGGGTTTGAGCCTGCCACTTTTGGACTCTCGCTTGCTGAGGTGTTCCAGCGAGTGTCTCTGTAGATCTTAGAAAACTATGTCTTGATTTAAGTCGTTGAAGTGCTGGCTGATACCCAAACAAGGGATGAGCTGGAGATGTCTCTGCCTTGGTCCTTTCACTATTGGCTGCTACTTCCCGGCGGATGTCAGGTGGTGCAATACCGGCTAAGCAGTGTAATTTCTCCAGTGGTGTAGGGCGCAGACACCCCGTGATAATGCGGCATGTCTCATTAAGAGCCACATCCACTGTTTTAGCATGGTGAGATGTGTTCCACACTGGGCATGCATACTCAGCAGCAGAGTAGCATAGCGCAAGGGCAGATGTCTTCACTGTGTCTGGTTGTGATCCCCAGGTTGTGCCAGTCAGCTTTCGTATGATATTGTTTCTAGCACCCACTTTTTGCTTGATGTTCAGGCAGTGCTTCTTGTAGGTCAGAGCACGGTCCAAAGTGACTCCCAGGTATTTGGGTGTGCTGCAATGCTCCAGTGGGATTCCTTCCCAGGTAATCCTCAAAGCTCGGGATGCTTGTCTGTTCTTAAGGTGAAAGGCACATGTCTGTGTTTTAGATGGATTAGGAATGGATTAGGGGGACATGAGAGAAGCCTCCTCACAGGATTGCAAGACATCCAGGTGTCCCCTGGGCAACGTCTTTGTAGACGGCTGATTCTCTCACCCCAGAAGTGACCAGAAGCGACCAGAAGCGACCAGAAGCTGTGGGTTGAAATGACAGGAAAGGAGATTCCACCTGAACCTTAGGAAGAACCTCTTGACCATAAGAAGAGCTATTCAACAGTGGAACTCTGTGCCTCAGTGAAGGCTTTCAAACAGGCTGGATGGCCATGTATCGGGAGGGCTTTGATTGTGCTTTTCCTGCATGTCAGAAAGGGGTTGGACTGGATGGCCCTTCCAACTCAATGATTCTATGAATCCACTATGTAACCAAATTTGGAAATAGTTTTGTTCCTAGTTTGAAAGTGTTACTGCCTGTTTAATTGTGTGGTACTTACTTGGAAAATATTGGAAATTTCATAACCTATTGGAAATAACAACAATAATTTTTATTGATTAACCAGTTGGCCTTATCAAAAACAGACAGTGCAAACCTATTGGAAATAACTACACCATAAACTTATTGAAAAGGTAAAAATCATGTCACATCTGTTTGGTAAATGTGAATCTTCAGAGAACATGTGAGGACCACCTTTTGAAAACCACTAGTCAAGAAGAGCATGACCTTGTTAGAAGTCAACTCTGAACAAGTGAATATACATAAGCATTCATGTAATGGCACACAGGTAACTCGGCTGATAAACTGAAGAACCATGTCTTTGAACTACCAAGGATAAAGACATGCCACTACAAAAATATATTTGGTTAGCAGAGGATGGTTGTTTCTTTGAAGTTGAAATTGCAGTTGCCCAAAATATATACACTACCTTGAAACCTCTTAGTTAAAATATGTACTCAAGAGACAAAAAGAAAGTAGTCTTATTTGAAAAATAACGTCTCAGGTTTACTAACAAGTCATCCACCTCCACTGAGGTCTGATGCAAACTGTATACAAAATGGAGTCCTGGGTCAAAAGCCCCTCCCACACCAAAGAGGAACCGGCAAACCGGCAAACCAAAATGTCCATACAATATATGTTAACAATTATACACATTTACAAACAGTTAGTGGAGGTTAGAAGGTTGCTATTTCCAACAGAAAATAGTTGTTCTAATCCAGAAACTTTGTTTTCGTGACTGCCACAAACTAGGTTGAATTGGTCGAGACTCGATGAATTCATTGAAAAACCAGAGCCAAATATGCTGCAGGAAGTCCTTCCCACCAAAACAAAGTTTTTGAAGTTCAATAAAACTTTGTCCATGTTTTTATTAAAGAACTAATTGGAAAATGACTTTTCTAACCCAGGAACAAAAACTGTGTTTCATAGTGTTACCTGCTTATCTGGCAATATAGACTGATATAATCCAGTTCAAAGCAGATAACCTGAGATAACATCCTGGGATGTAGATTCTGTCAGAGTGCGACAGAAGCTTCGAAGCTTAGAAGAATGAACACTGTAAGACTTCAGTAAAAGCAAACGTATAGCTTTACTGAGTAGAACAAATATACAGCGCACACTCGCATTGACACCCAACCAAAAAGAATAGAAACAAGACAAAAGCACCGAAGTAAGAAGGACGAACGAAATCTTATCTCTGGATCCTCCCTACGCGTTCCAGGCACATTCAGGGTCACAACTTCACAGTTCATTAGAGCCTTGACTGATTAACCCTTTCAGAGTCAATACACTTTCTGCTAATTCAATCAGGTTACATTTACAGGCATTACACAAAATTACATTTAAACATTCACATTACACTAATCTTACACTGACAGATCCAGGCTAGGATCCTAAGAAGGTGGGGAAGCTTGCGTTTGGCTCACCGAGCTGCTACAAAAGGCCTGGGGCCCACCAAGGGCCAACCCTAGGCCAACCCTTGGCCCTTTGGTATGTTCTCAGCCGCCTCTCTCTCCTATAGAAGCAGATGAGCCCTCCATAGAGCCGTGGGTCCAGATTGCCATTGGAGTTGGCTCCTTCTGCCTCCTGCTTCTGATGGTGGTGAGCCTCATGTCCATGGAGAGGTGAGATGGGGTTTTTGGGGAGGCTTTGGGTGGGGTTCTCCTTTAAGGCTTTGCAGGGATAAGCAGTTGGGGATTAGCAACCCCCTAAAAGGCAGGCATATTGGTGGCAGACAGGGAAAGTACGGATGGCATCAAGAGAACCAAACAGACCAATGTAGAAAGCACCACCATAAAAATCCAGGAACCAGGAACCAATTTTTTCTTCTACTGTAGTGTCTCGCTTATCCAACCTTTGCTTATCTGACCTTCATTTATCCCACATTCTGTCTTATCTGATGCCCTGCTTTTCCTCCAGCATTTCCCCTTCAATTAAAGGAGTGTTTTCCAACACTCTATCCATTCCCAATAAGTAAAAAAGGCAAGATGAGGAGGAGGAGGAGGGAGGAAAAGGGGGAAAGAGGCAGGACTGTTTCCGTTCGCAAGTTCACGATTCAAGTTTCCTGTGTTTGCCTATGTTCCTGGAAGAGTTTTGCCTTGGGAAAAGTTCCTGCTTTCATGCTTATTGATTTATACTTGTGATCATTATTTCCTTGATTTCATGTACCTTGCTAATTTTGGACTAGTGTTCTTGTATCTATGGACTGCTGCTGTTTTAGAGCTCTTTTCTACTGCTCTTTTGGAATATGCACCCTTTTCCCTTTTGTGTATGCTTTTCTTAATAAATTGCTGTAGTGAATACTCTGATGTCTCAAGGCTAGAGTGCAGCATACTCATTATAAACAGGTATCTACTAAAATGACTCCCACTCGTCGTCTGCTGGTTTTAACTACGTCTTTGTTGCTCCATTTTAGTATCAGAAAAAGCCTTTATCCACAAACAGAAGCTAATATCAATGTTACTGGTATTTCATTTCCCTCAGGGTCCGGCTGGTTCTGCTGCCTGCCATCCCCAACCCCGGCAAGAAATTCGAAGATCTCTTTACAGCGTACCATGGCAATTTCTCTGTAAGTATCTTGGAAGGGAACCCATCGGGGGCTGCCTTTTAGAGAGAAGGCAAAACTACCTCATGATTTCAAAAGTCAGAGGGTCAAAGCCCAGGGCTTTGAGATGTGCAGGAATTATAACATCCACGTTCTACTCTCTGTCCATTCCCTTGTACTGGAATGTTGGGAGTTGTAGTCCAAACAAAAGCCTAGTCCAGACCAGCCATCCTCTAAACAGAGGTTATTTTGGCAAAGAGGGCAGTGAAGAGTAGAGAAAGAAATCCACCTAAGGGGAGATGGGATGGCCAGAGTTGGAAGTCTTTCTTTGTGTCTCCTCTCTAATGGGATCTCTCTTGCTTGTTCCTTGTGTCTCCTATTTAATAGGATTACTTGTCCTTCCTTGAGTCTCTTCTCCAATATCTTTCTTGAGTCTCCTTTCCAACAGCATCTCTACTTGTCGTTCTGTGAGTCTCCTCTCCTATTTCTTTCTTGATGCTCCGTTCAAACAGCATCTCTACTTGACCTTCCTTGAGTCTCCTCTCCAATATCTTTCTTGAGTGTTCGTTCCAACAGCATCTCTACTTGTCCATCCTAGTCTCCTCTCCAATATCTTTCTTGAGTCTCCGTTGCAACGGCATCTCGATTTGTCCTTCCTTGAGTTTCCACTCCATTATATTTCTTGAGTGTTCATTTCAACAGCATCTCTACTTGTACTTCCTTGAGTCTCCTCTCCAATATCTTTCTTGAGTGTTCGTTCCAACAGCATCTAAACTTGTCCTTCCTTGAGTCTCCTCTCCAATATCTTTCTTGAGTGTTCGTTCCATCAGGATCTCTACTTGTCCTTCCTTGAGTCTCCTCTCCAGTATCTTTCTTGAGTCTCTGTTCCAACGGCATGTCTACGTGTTCTTGCTTGAGTCTCCTCTTCAAAATCTTTCTTTAGTCTCTGTCCCAATGGCATGTCTACATGTTCTTCCTTGAGTCTCCTTTCCAAAATCTTTCTTTAGTCTCTGTTCCAATGGCATCTCTACTTATCCTTCTTTGAGTCTCTTCTCCAATATCTTTCTTGAGTCTCTGTTCCAACAGCATCTCTACTTAATCTTCCTTGAGTCTCCTCTCCAATATCTTTTTTGAGTGTTCATTCCAACGGCATGTCTACATGTTCTTCCTTGAGTCTCCTCTCCAATATCTTTCTTGAGTCTCTGTTCCAACAGCATCTCTACTTGTCCTTCCTTGAGTCTCCTCTCCAATATCTTTCTTGAGTCTCCGTTCCAACGGCATCTCTACTTGTCCTTCCTTGTGTCTCCTCTCAAATATCTTTCTTGAATGTTCGTTCCATCAGCATCTCTACTTGTCCTTCCTTGAGTCTCCTCTCCAATATCTTTCTTGAATGTTCATTCCAACAGCATCTCTACTTGTACTTCCTTGAGTCTCCTCTCCAATATCTTTCTTGAGACTCAATTCCAACAGCATCTAAACTTGTCCTTCCTTGAGTCTCCTCTCCAAAATCTTTCTTGAGTGTTTGTTCCATCAGCATCTCTACTTGTCCTTCCTTGAGTCTCATCTCCAATATCTTTCTTGAGTGTTTGTTCCATCAGCATATCTATTTGTCCTTCCTTGAGTCTGCTCTCCAATATCTTTCTTGAGTCTCCGTTCCATCAACATCTCTACTTGTCCTTCCTTGAGTCTCCTCTCCAATATCTTTATTTAGTGTTCGTTCCATCAGCATATCTACTTGTCCTTCCTTGTGTTTCCCTTCCCATATCTTCCTTGAGTGTCCGTTCCAAATGCATCTCTCTTTCTCCTTCTTTGTCTTTCCAATATCTTTCTTGAGTTTCCATTCCAATGGCATGTCTACTTGTCTCTTCTTGAGTCTCCTCTCCAACAGGATCTCTCTTTGCCTGTTTCTACAGGAGTGGGCTGGGGTCCCGAAGGATGCCGTGGAAGCCTTCAAGCCCAGCTATTGCGAGAGCATCTGTCGCGTCAGTGAGCTCTTCCCCGGCGGGGGCTATCTGCCCGTCTGCAGCGATGCCATGGGCAAGGCCTGCCCCGTTCCCAAAGGAATTGCCCCATAGAGGGACCCCACTTCTCACCTCCAGTCCCAGTTGGCTACCAAAGCTGGAAATATCGCTTAAATATAAAAAAGTTGTGCCTCCCGCGATCACCCACTCATGGGTGCCTTGGGGATTCTGAATGTTGTAGTCCAATGCAGCCATGCTTCCAAGCCCTAAAGGCTACCTATCTAGTCCAACCCCTGCCATGCTGCCATAGCCTTCCCAAGAGATTAACATCTGGATACAAAATGGGGGTTAATGCTTTGGAAGAGAGCTTTTTCCACTATCAAAGGTTTCTTTTCCTGGTCCCTTCCAATGCTTAGGTAGAATCTCTTATTTTTCTACTTCAGTCCTTCTCACTGCCATATAATCCAGATTATCAAAGCAGATAATGCACATTATTTGCTTTGAACTGGATTATAGGAGTCTACACTGCCATACAATCCAGTTTAAAGCAGATAATCTGGATTTTATTTGGCAGTGTAGCCCCTTCACTGATGTAAGGATCTCTTTTTATGCTATGTTCTATCAATTCAATGCACAATTATATATATATAAAGAGAGAGATATATATACCTTCCTTTAAATCCCAAGATGGCACAACATGCCTCTAAGAAAGTGGGCTGGGTGTCTAGAGAACTCCATGGTTTATTAAGTCTCTAAAAGGTACTGCAGGATGTTTTGCTATTGCACATAAATACTTTTTTAAAAGTTGAATTTGACTCCACATTTGTGTCTCTGGTGGTATCTTTCTGCTCCTGGATTCGCTTCCGTTTAGTTAGCCTTAAGATGTTTGGGGCAAGATATGGGGAAGAGTCTTTAGTTCCAACTTCCAGCACTCTGATCCTGGGATTTGAACCTAACAACAACAACAGTACTGTTTCAAAGTGCCTATAATCACAAGCTTCCTTTTGGGTTTTACAATACTTAGGTCCTTTCTACACTGCCATAAAATCCAGATTATCAAAGCAGATTTTTTGTGTGTGTCAGGAGCGACTTGAGAAACTGCAAGTCACTTCTGGTGTGAGAGAATAGGCTGTCTGCAAAGACATTGCCCAGGGGATGCCCAGATGTTTTGATGTTTTGCCATCCTTGTGGGAGGCTTTTCTCATGTCCCCGCATGGGAAGCTACAGCTGACAGAGGGAGCTCATCCGCACTCTCCCCATTCGAACTCTGACCTGTCGGTCATCAGTCCTGCCGGCACAAGGGTTTAACTCATTGCTCCACCGGGGGCTCCTATCAAAGCAATGCACACTATATGCTTTGAACTAGATTATATGAGTCTACACTGCCATATAATTTTATTTATTATTTATTTATTTAGAGTTTTTATAACCCGGTCTTCTTGACCTCCGAGGAGGGACTCAGGCCGGATAACAACATAAGATTCAATGCAATAAGAAAAATATTATAAATCATCAATATAAAATACATTAAAATACAATTCATACAAGTTACAGCAAAAATCAGTTCGTCAAAAAGAATCATAATTCATCGCCATCCGCCAGAAAGGTCAGCAGTTATTGACTCAGTCATCATTCTGCAAATGCAATATCCCAAAGCCATGTTTTTACCAGCTTTCTAAACGTCAGGAGGGAAGAGGAAGATCTAATCTCCATCGGGAGGGAATTCCAAAGCTGAGGGGCTACCACCGAAAAGGCCCTGTCCCTCATCCCCACCAAACGCGATTGCGAAGGCGGTGGGAATGAGTTCAAAGCAGATAAATTGGATTTTATATGGCAGTGTTGAAGAAGCTTTAGACTACTGGGAATTGTGGCTCCCAGACTCCAAGATATTTGACCCTTTTGCTCCCAAATGATGCCCTTTTGACACATTTTAGGTACCTCTGGCTCATAGGCCCAGGAGAGGGGATTTTACACCAAAGTTAATGACCCAGGACCCAAAACAACCTTGAGTGGGCCAAACCCATGACAAAATTGGGGCTGGGGGCAACAAGAGGTACATTGTAGCTACCCAAGGTCCATTGGAAGCCAATAGAGTCTCTTGAACCCCAAAGTCCTCTCATTATCCACCCTTATCTTGGAGAATGGGGTCAGTGGTGGACATTGTAGCTGCGGTCCTCTATAGAGTGTTCATCTGTGAGGTTCTGAAATGTCACAATGGTTCCTGGCCTGGTGCAGAAGTTGCTGTCTGCATGGCCAGGCATCCAGGGACATGTTTATCTGCGTTAAATATGGAGGTAAGAGAAAAGGCCAAGGCCCCGCAGAGATGGAGGGCCCCAGTTGGAAGGGGAAATGGGAAAAACAATGGGGCAGGTGGACTCCCATCCGTTTCTGGCCTTGGGGCTGGCAGTCTTCTATCTTGGCCGCCTCTCTTGCAGACAACCGGCAGTTCCTCGCCAACATCAACTGCTCCGTTTTGCTCCTCTCGCATTACCTGCGCGACAAAGTGGGGTTGCAGAGGACAGGTGAGGCGGACGATGGACATGGATCCAGTAAGAAAGTAGATTTGGTGCCATCGCATGGGATGGTTGCCCAAAGGATGGGGCATGGATGAGGGTCAGAAGGGATGATGACTTAGGACTAAAACTATGGGACTTTTCCAAGGTTGAGGATACGGTTCAGCACCTTGGAGAACTACTTTACCTGTATTTTGCTGTGCAAGAGTTGCCACCATATAAGATTTGCACCCCCATTTTGGAGGTGCCAACATTGGTATTTTTGTGTTCTTCACAACACTTAGATAGCTTCCTTTTGGGGGACCATAGTCTCCAAAATCCCTCAACCAACACCAATAGCAACCTACTCTATTTCATCACATAATAGTCGCATCCCTTTTTTAAAAAGAGGGTGTGACTATTATGAAAGGGAAAAAATCTGCCTTTGATTCACTAGTTTTTTGGGTTTTTAAAATTTAAATAAAATGCCTTGCCTCCAAAAGGGGAGGAGGCTGATCCAGTCTCAAACAAACAACTCTGTTTCTGTTTGTTTCAAACTTTGGCTGCTCTTCCTTCCATCCTTATTTATTGTTTATTTATTTACAGTATTTATATTCTGCCCTTACACCTTCTCACTGAAGGCCGATCACAGAACACATAAATGGCAAACATTCAGTGCCGATTATTTATTTATTGATTTATTTATATACTGCCCTTCTCAGCCCAGAGGCGATTATACAATGACAACACAGACAACAGATAGAGGCATATAGTATATAGGCTTTCTCATCTTTTGGCCTCTTTGGAGGCTGTGCCTGGTTCTGGCCGCAGGGGGGTGCTGTCGCTCAATTTCCTTGCCAAAGAACATTATTTGTTCGTAAACTTTCCTCCTTTTTTTGATTGAAATGGCAGTGCCTAACATACCTCCCTGCTTAATGCGGTTTCTAATCATCTACTCACATTGCTGTTTTCGATCCGCTAGCTGGGTTGGGAGCTAGGCTGAAAGTCAGGAGCTCACCCTGACCTGGCTTTGAGCTGTCAAGCATTTGGTTGGCAAGTTTTACTGCAGCTGGTGATTAACCTGCTGTGCTAAAGCCGGCCCTTCTACAAAAGCGCGTTCTCTGGAGCTCTGCTCTTCTCTCCTCCCTCCTTCTTCCAAATCCTTACAGCAGTTTTTTTAAAATCTGAAACTGAGTTCTTTTTTTTAATATATTCTTTATTGAGGTTTTTTATATTACATAATAGTTAAAAATCAAAAAGAAAGAAAGAAAAGAGAGTATGGGAAAAGGGAGAAGGGGAAGAAAGAAAAGAAGGGGGAGATAGCACCGAAAGTTAAAAAGAAAAGTCAAGAAGTGGATTTTCACCACCCGAGGTTTCCCTTCTTCTTCAAGTTGACTTCCAGGGTTCTTCGAGGATAGTTTCTTCCTTTTCTTTCGTTCTTCTTCCTTCTTAGTTTTCTTAAGCATATTTAGTTTTTTGACTGGTCTACTAAAGATAATTGTGTATTTACAAGTTAACCTTTCTTTCTTTTATGAACAGATTTTTTTTTTTGTCCTCTCACMTCTCTTGCATTAAGTATTCATTTAGTGGTGTCCAGTCTGTACATGTCTCTGCTATTCCTTTATTTCTTTGTAATAGATAACTTAGACTATCCATATTTTTAACATCTAATATTTTCCTATTCCATTCTTCTATTGTTGGTATATCTTCCTTTCTCCACCTTTTGGCGTAGCACATCCTGGCTGCCGTTGTGGATAGGAAAATCAATTTATCTGTATTTTCTTCCATTTTCATATCTGTTATACCCAATAGAAATAYCTCCGGTTTTAGAGGGATTTTAATTTTTAGGATTTTTTGTAAATTATTTTGAATTTCTTTCCAATATTTTTTTGCCTTTTTGCAATGCCACCACATGTGGTAGAATGTTCCTTCTGCCGTTCCACATTTCCAACAGTTGGGTTTCAAATTCTTATAGCATTTACTTAATTTGTAAGGGGTCATGTACCATCTATAGAATATCTTTGCACAATTTTCTTGCATGTCATATGCCCGTAAATATTTTCTTTTTTTCTTCCAAATCAGTTCCCATTCTTCTAATCTTATCGATCTACCCACATTTCTTGCCCATTTTATCATACATTCTTTTACTCCTTCCTCCTCTGTGTTCCATCCCAACAGCTTTTTGTATATTCTGGATATTTTTTTCCTCCCTGTATCCCATATTGCATCCCAGGAAAAAAAAAAGACATGAAATTGAGTTCTTTGGAGAAAGAAGGAAGGAGGAAAGATCTGAGTTCAAGAGATCTCAATTTCAGGTTTTTTTTTAAAAAAAGTCCTTAAGGCCTCAGAGGAAGGAGGGAGGAGAGAAGAGTGGAACTTCAGAGACCTCTATTTTATAGTTTGTAACCCGTCTGGACTTCGGAGAAGGATCAACCCCAAATAACTCTGCAGTTTAAAACAAACAGAAATTGAGCTTTGTTTGATAGTAGATCAGGCAACAAACCAACAGAACCAGAAACTGGAGAATCAAAGGCATATTTTCCCCCTCTCACATAATAGTTGTACCTCTTTTTTTAAAAAAGATAGGGAAGTGAGACCATTATGCGATGAAAAATGGTAGATTGCTGTTTGTGCCAGTTGGATTCTGGAGAATGTGTCCCCTAAAAAAGAGCTATCTCAAGCTGGCTTGCCACTGTAGGACAAAAAAGGAGAGGTATGTCATGCCAGTTGTGTTGGCCTCTATGGGACCCTATAGTCTCCAAAGAGGAGTCCAGTCAAGCTGGTTTTCTAATTGGAAGATTCTGGTTGTTGTAGTCAGGGAAAGAGAACATAGAGCTTAGCAAGGTCCTCTTTCTTAGACTGCAACAACCACAATTTTTTGGGTTGAAGAACACAAAGGAGGGTGATCTCGAGCCTCCGCCAGATGAGGTCCAAAGGGGTGGAAAGGGATGTGCCTTTCCATCTTTCTATTCTATTGCTCCCTTCCCTCCTTCCAGACCCCATTGACTTATGTGAAGAAAACGGGACCCTCAAGCTCCTTTTCCTAGTCAAGATCCCAGAAGACAATGCCAGCAAGTTCCTAACTCCTAGGGCAACCTACTACATCTGCAAGTTGGAAAAGGGGCTCCCTGGTAGGTGGCAAGGGGCCCTCCCTACAGCATTGCCTTGGACCCAAGAGGAATCCTCCTCTGCCTCGGACTCCATATTGACAGGAGGCTGGCAAAAGCAGACAACCATTAAGATATTATGCTTCTTTGGCTGCCACAAAACGTATGGCCCTTTCACATCAAACACTATCAGCCCGCTTCAGTTGCCCTGGCTGCATCCTATGTCTGTAGTTTTAAGATGCACACCGCCTCTCTGGCAGTGAACCCTAAATAGTCTCTAGAATGCCTCAACCAGCATCAACAGCAACTTACCATATTTCATCACGTAATAGTCGCACGTAATAGTGGGAAAGCAATCAGGGAGAGGTCTTAGATTTGGAGAAAGATGTTTGTAGTTTTAAGATGCACACCGCCTCTCTGGCAGTGAATCCTAAATAGTCTCTAGAATGCCTCAACCAGCATCAACAGCAACTTACCATATTTCATCACATAATAGTTGCACGTAATAGTAGGAAAGCGATCAGGGAGAGGTCTTAGATTTGGAGAAAGATGCCTGTAGTTTTAAGATGCACACCACCTCTCTGGCAGTGAACCCTAAATAGTCTCTAGAATGCCTCTACCAGCATCAACAGCAACTTACCATATTTCATCACATAATAGTCACGCGTAATAGTGGGAAAGTGATCAGAGAGAGGTCTTAGATTTGGAGAAAGATGTCTGTAGTTTTAAGATGCACACCACCTCTCTGGCAGTGAACCCTAAATAGTCTCTAGAATGCCTCAACCAGCATAACAACAACTTACCATATTTCATCACATAATAGTCGCACCCCCTTTTTAAAAGGGGAGTGCGACTACTATAAGAGGAAGAAAAATCTGCCTTTGATTCTCCAGATTTTGGTTTTGTTTGTTTAATTTAGATAACCCTAAATGTTGGCTTAGGGGTGTTTCTACACTGAAGAATTAACACAGTTTAACTTCACTTTAACTTCAATGGAATCCTGGGAATTGTAGCTAGGTCTCTATGGCAGAGAAGGCTGCAAACCTTGTAAAAATATAACTCTGATGATTCATTGAGCCATAGCAGTTAAAGTGGCATGAAACTGCATTAATTCTACCGTGTAGATACACCCAAGGCTCTGAAGACCAGAGTTCGACCCTGTGACGAAATGAAAATCATGTGTAGTTCATATCTGATCAGTCCACACACTGCCTTGCCAGAGAAAGAAAATACGCCATACAGATGAGCAGTAAAGAACAAGTAGTTTACACTTCGTAGTTCAGAACAACGTGTTTACAATCATGTGATCAGTGGCATCGATTCACATAATGTCCTTTTATGAGAGATTTAAAATTGTCTTTCTTTGTCCATGTGGAGAATCTCCCTCCAGCAGCTCATGAAGCAAAAGCACATTCCAAACTGTCTCTTTTTCTTTTCTCTGAGCACTTGCATAACCTGAAAAATGTAACAGTATCCAAAAGTCCCAGGCTCAGCTATCTCCCCAGGAATGGCCCAATCAATCAGCTTCATGCCTCTTATTTTACAGTTGACACACACTCATTAACTGATTTCTTACATGCTCCAACAGACACCACCTTATAGCCTTCTTGCTTTTCGACTTGTCTGTCTGTCTATATCTTTAAAGCAGCTTTTGCATTCATTGATTGGAACTGTTTTTCTGATCTGATGACTGTTCCATGGCCAAAGCCGATTCATTATGCTCTAAACTGTTTTCATTGATTGCTTTTTCTCCCTTTTCAGCCAATACTATTAGTTGCCTTTGAGGCTTCTTGCAAGGAAAGGTGGAATGCAAATGCTTCAATACATAATAACAGAAGCAATCGTGCATTGCAAGCCAAGGGCCGATTTGCCAAGTTCCTTTCCACCCAATCAAGGTCGGATGCTCCCTGAATTTTTTAGATTTGCACTGTTTGCTTTCATACCAAGCGAGTGGGAAAGCGATCAGGGAGAAGTCTTAGATTTGGAGAAAGATGTCTGTAGTTTTAAGATACACACCACCTCTCTAGCAGTGAACCCTAAATAGTCTCTAGAATGCCTCAACCAGCATCAACAGCAACTTAACATATTTCATCACGTAATAGTCGCACATAATAGTGGGAAAGCGATCAGGGAGAGGTCTTAGATTTGGAGAAAGACATCTGTAGTTTTAAGATGCACATCGCCTCTCTGGCAGTGAAACCTAAATAGTCTCTAGAATGCCTCAACCAGCATCAACAGCAACTTACCATATTTCATCACTAAGTCGCACGTAATAATGGGAAAGCGATCAGGGAGAGGTCTTAGATTTGGAGAAAGATGTCTGTAGTTTTAAGATGCACATCGCCTCTCTGGCAGTGAACCCTAAATAGTCTCTAGTATGCCTCAACCAGCATCAACAGCAACTTACCATATTTCATCACGTAACAGTCGCATGAAATAGTGGGAAAGCGATCAGGAAGAGGTCTTAGATATGGAGAAAGATGACTCTAGTTTTAAGATGCACGCCACCTCTCTGGCAGTGAACCCTAAATAGTCTCTAGAATGCCTCAACCAGTGTCAACAGCAACTTATCATATTTCATCACGTAATAGTTGCACATAATACTAAATTGGTGAAATGTAAATAAATTATAATAATTAATCAATGACAGGTTCTCTTCCTTCTTCAGGGACCAAGCATGAAAACGGCTACCGGGCCTTTCTGCCTGTATTCAGACACCCACCCCTGGAGCTGATGGGTAGGAAGACTTAAAGTGATAGGCCCTTTATGCTGGAGAAGTTCCTTTTTTTGGTGATGCAATCCTCAAACTCCTCCGGCTAATTCAGGTGCCCCAAAAAGGAACTTTTCCCAAACCTCTTCCAATTGGAGTTACTTGCAAACCAAGGATGATGATGATGATGATGATGATGATGATGATGATGATGGGAGGTCTACCTTGCAAGGCTATTGTGAATGCAATTGCCATCCTGAGTGTTTGAGGGAAGTCTATGGGTGCATCTACACCAGGCATGGGCTAACTTGGGCCCTCCAGGTGTTTTGACTCCAATTCCCACAATCCCTAACAGCCTCAGGCCCTTTCCTTTTACCCCTCGCCCCCTTTGATCCTCTCATTTGCCCTACAGAGTCCTTGCGCAACCAGTGCGACTTCCTGGAGAAGACCCGCCTCCGGATGCTCAAGAGCCAAGATGGCAGGAAGCCCACCATGGAGTCGCTCCTGATTTCCATGCAAAACCACCTGATGGTGAGGCACCTGCCCCCAGCTTTCATGAATGCGCCAGGTGGCCATCTGTCGGGAGGGATCAAATGGTGTCTTCCTGCCTGGCAGAAAGGGTTGGACTGGATGGTCTCTTGGGGTCCCTTCCAATTCTAGGATTCTATGATATATCTATCATATGTGTGGGTGTGTTTGTGTGTGTATTTGTGTGTGTGTATGTATACATATACTGTATATAATATCTAATCTATCTATCTATTGCTGAATGCCCATCTGTTGGGAGGGGTAGAATGGGGTCTTCCTGCCTTGCAGAAGAGGTTGGACTGGATGGCCTCTTGGGGTCCCTTCCAATTCTAGGATTCTATGATATATCTATCGTGTGTGTGTGTGTGTGTGTGTGTGTATAATGTCTAACCTAACTATCTTTGGCTGAATGGCCATCTGTTGGAAGGGGTAGTATCGTGTCTTCCTGCCTTGCAGAAGAGGTTGGACTGGATGGCCTCTGGGGGTCCCTTCCAATTTTAGGGTTCTTTGATATATCTATCTCATGTCTCTGAGATAGAGAAATGAGAGAGATATAGTACCATTGATATGAAAGGGACCCCCAAAGGCCATCCAGTCCAGCTCTGTTCTTAACCAGGAGCGTTTGCAAGTCGGTGTTTGTAACTCAGGGATAACCTTTGTGTGTGTGTGTTGTTCATTCGTTCAGTCGTCTCCGACTCTTCGTGACCTCATGGACCAGCCCACGCCAGAGCTCCCTGTCGGCCGTTACCACCCCCAGCTCCCTCAAGGTCAGTCCAGTCACTTCAAGGATGCCATCCATCCATCTTGCCCTTGGTCGGCCCCTCTTCCTTTTACCTTCCACTTTCCCCACATCATTGTCTTCTCCAGGCTTTGCTGTCTCCTCATGATGTTGCCAAAGTACTTCAACTTTGTCTCTAGTCTTCCCTCCAGTGAGCAGTCGGGCTTTATTTCCTGGAGGATGGACTGGTTGGATCTTCTCGCAGTCCAAGGCACTCTCAGAACTTTCCTCCAACACCACAGCTCAAAAGCATCTATCTCCTTTCACTCAGCCTTCCCTAAGGTCCAGCTCTCACATCCGTAGGTTACTACAGGGAAAACCATGGCTTTGACTAGGCGGATCTTTGTTGCCAGTCTGATGTCTCTACTCTTTACTATTTTATCGAGACTGGACATTGCTCTCCTCCAAGAAGGAAGCGTCTTCTGATTTCCTGGCCACAGTCTGCATCTGCAGTAATCTTTGCACCTAGAAATACAAAGTCTGTCACGGCCTCCACATTTTCTCCCTCTATTTTCCAGTTGTCAATCATTCTTGTTGCCATAATCTTGGTTTTTTTGATGTTTAGCTGCAACCCAGCTTTTGCGCTTTCTTCTTTCACCTTGATTAGGAGGCTCCTCAGCTCCTCCTCGCTTTCGGCCATCAAGTGGTGTCATCTGCATATCTAAGGTTGTTAATGTTTCTTCCAGCAATTTTCACCCCAGCTTTGCATTCATCAAGCCCCGCACATCGCATGATGTGTTCTGCATACAAGTTGAAAAGGTTGGGTGAGAGTATGCAGCCTTGCCGTACGCCTTTCCCAATCTTGAACCAGTCTGTTGTTCCGTGGTCAGTTCTGACTGTTGCTACTTGGTCCTTGTGCAGATTCCTCAGGAGAGAGACAAGGTGGCTTGGGATGCCCATCCCACTAAGAACTTGCCACAATTTATTATGATCCACACAGTCAAAGGCTTTAGAATAGTCAATGAAGCAGAAGTAGATGTTTTTCTGAAACTCCCTGCCTTTCTCCATTAACCAGCGGATATTGGCAATCTGGTCTCTCGTTCCTCTGCCTTTTCTAAACCCAGCTTGAACATCTGGCAACTCTCGCTCCATGTATTGCTGGAGTCTTCCTTGCAGGATCTTGAGCATTACCTTACTGGCATGAGAAATAAGGGCCACTGTACGGAAGTTTGAGCAGTCTTTCGCATTTCCCTTTTTTTGGTATGGGGATATAAGTTGATTTTTTCCAGTCTGATGGCCATTCTTGTGTTTTCCATATTTGCTGGCATATGGCATGCATCACAATATGAATGGGTTCCTTGGTAGAGGTTAAACACCAATAATCCACTTATAAAGATAACATAATGAATAAGTCCAACAAATAGGTAAATTGTGAAACTAGGACTGTTCAATTCACAGTGGTCACAAAATCAAGCAATATGCAATAAATTCTGTATAGTCTTTTAGTGATGTCGTTGTATGTTCATGTATCAGCCTCCCACGACCGGTTTCGGCCTTTGCTTAGGCCTTCTTCGGGTGGTCTGTAATTTTACATACATAAATACATTTTACAATTGTATAGGTTGAACATAATGAAATAAAATGCATTTAGAAATACTTACAAAGTTCAGTCTTTTACATATGTTCTCATAAGAGATACTTAAGTTTTTTTACAATGGGATCTAGGTAAAAGGAACAAATTGTGGCTATTAACATTTAAACGTTACATATATCAAAATAAATGTTTTACCAATATATTTCACCAAATAGGTGTATACTCACACGATACTCTGCTTCTAAGTTTGATTCTAATTGCGAGTATGAACAGGATCTAGGGATTACCTCTATTTAAAGAGGAAAATGCACATCAGATGTAAAGGAGACAGAGAAGTTAATTAAAGGCTCATTTAAAGTTATAGGTGTAGAGGAAGTCACCACTAGATGGCGTTGTGAGTAATGTAATCCCCAGGGATGTGTAAATGGCATGCATCACCTTGACAGCATCATCTTTTAAGATTTTAAACAGTTCAGCTGGGATCCCGTCGTCTCCTGCTGCCTTGTTGTTAGCAATGCTTCTTAAGGCCCATTCAACTTCACTCCTCAGGATGTCTGGTTCTAATTCATTCACCACACCGTCATAATTATCCTCAATATTTGTGTGTGTAGAAAGAGAGAAATGAGAGAGATATAGTATCAAAGATGTGTGTGTGTGTGTGTGTTTGCGTGTGTAGAAAGAGAGAGAGAAATGAGAGAGCTATAGTATCATATTTGAAAGGGACCCCCAAAGGCCATCCAATCCAGCTCTGTTCTTAACTCAGAGCCATTTGCAAGTCGGGTGTTTGTAACTCGGGACGGCCTATGTGCTTGTGTATATATATAGTTAGGTAGATGAGATAGACATAGTATCATAGATTTGGAAGGGACTCCCATAGGTCATCCAGTCCAGTTGTTTTTAACTAGGAGCCATTTGCAAGTTAGGTGTTTGTAACTCAGGGATCACTATCTATCTATATCTATCTAATCTATCTATATAATAAAAGTGAATGTTTGTATGTATGTATGCGGAAGACGGAAGGGCGGAAGTGTATGTGGCAGCTTTCTGATTGACTGCCACTGTGGTACAATTTGCATAAGGTCTCTGATTGGCCAGCCTCAACATTCTAACATTCTGATTGGTTGCCACTGTGGTATAATTTGCATATGGTTTCTGATAGGCCAGCCTCAACATTCTAACATTCCGAAGTGGCTGAGAGGGAAAAGGTAAGAGTCTGAGGCTTTCAGGAATGGTGGGAGTTGAAGTCCAAAACACCTTGTGGCCCCCAACAATGACAGAACAAGACCAAACTTGGCACACAGACCCCGCCCCCCAGACCCACTCTACATCCTGGTGCAGTTTGAGGGAGGATGGACCATGGATGACGGGACTTGCACTACTTTAACTCACTACCTTAGAGCACAGTGGCCCACACCAATGACAGATCATATCCAAACTTGGCACACAGAGGCCCAATGGCCCACTTTACAACCTGGTGCAGTTTAGGGCAGGATGGCCCACGAATGATGGGATTAGCAGTACCTTCACCCGATTCCTTTCCCACAGAACACTGCAGCCCCTACAAATCATAGACCAGGCCCAAACTTGGCACACAGAGCCCCCATGACCCACTCTACATCCTGATGCAGTTCTAAGGGGGATGGACCATGGATGATGGGACTTGCAGTACCTTCTCTCACTTACTGAAACCACTGCGATCTTCTTCCAATGACCAATAAAGACCAAACTTGGCACACAGAGCCCCCATGACCCACTCTACATCCTGATGCAATTCTAAGGGAGATGGACCATAGATGATGGGATTTGCAGTACCGTCACTCACTTACTGAAACCACTGTGACCATCATCCAATGGCCAATAAAGACCAAACTTGGCAACAGAGCCCCCATGACCCACTCTACATCCTGATGGAGTTCTAAGGGGGATGGACCATGGATGATGGGATTTGCAGTACCTTCACTCACTTACTAAAACCACTGCGACCATCATCCAATGGCCAATAAAGACCAAACTTGGCACACAGAGCCCCCATGACCCACTCTACATACTGATGCAATTCTAAGGGGGGTGGACCATAGATGATGGGATTTGCAGTACCTTCACTCACTTACTAAAACCACTGCGACCATCATCCAATGGCCAATAAAGACCAAACTTGGCACACAGAGCCCCCATGATCCACTCTACATCCTGATGCAGTCCTAAGGGGGATGGACCATGGATGATGGGATTTGCAGTACCTTCACTCACTTACTAAAACCACTGCGACCATCATCCAATGGCCAAGATCAAACTTGGCACACAGAGCCCCCATGACCCACTCTACATCCTGATGCAGTTCTAAGGGGGATGGACCATGGATGATGGGATTTGCAGTACCTTCATTCACTTACTGAAACCACTGTGACCATCATCCAATGGCCAATAAAGACCAAACTTGGCACACAGAGCCCTCATTACCCACTCTACATCCTGATGCAGTTCTAAGGGGGATGGACCATGGATGATGGGATTTGCAGTACCTTCACTCACTTACTGAAACCACTGCGACCCTTATCCAATGACTGATCAAGATCAAACTTGGCACACAGAGCCCTCATTACCCACTTTCTCTAATAACCTGGGCAGTGCCGAGTCCCCAAGCTAGTATTATATATATATGAGATAGATATCGTATTATAGATGTGAAAGGCACCTCCAAAGGCCATCCAGTCCAGCCCTGTTCTTTACGAGGAGGCCTTTGCAAGTCATATGTTTGTAACTCGGGGGCAGCCTGCACTGGTTTGGCAGGGCCTTAAGACTCGATGTGACTGTTCCTTCTGCAGGGCAAAAGTGCTGGGAAGACTGGCTCGACTGCCACCTCCAACCTGGATGAGGAGGGCACTCCCCGCAAAGCCACCACAAGCGCCAAGACCAGGATGGAGTCCGGCCGGAAAGAGAAGCACCGATGAAGAGGACAGCGAAAAAGAAGTTTCGGACAGGGCCTCCTCCTCCCTAATAGCTGGATAAAGCTGCTTTCTGGCTATGAGGAGCCATTCATTGCCCAAGAGGCAGAGGCCTTCCTTGTCTTTCTATTTGTGGGCTCCTTCTGCCTTTTCACTAGGCTGACGCCACCAGGGAGCAATCTGATTGGAGGAGCTGTAGCAAAGAAGTGGGCTCTGCAATGAAGATGGAGAGAAGGAGAAACAGGTTGCAGCAATGGGAGAAATCCCAGTTGCAGCAGTGGGAGAAATGGGAAAGAGGCTGTGGGACAGCTCAGGGTATTTATAGTCAAAGATATTAAGCATGGCTTACTTTTATGGGATCCTGGGAATTGTAGTTTTGCAGGGTCATGAGTCTTCTCTTGACTGGGTTGTGGCACAGCTGGTTGGGAGTCATCTGCAGTAAAATCATTACTGAATTCAAAGCCAGCCCGGGTTGGAGTAAGCTCCTGACCATTTGTCTAGCTTGCTGTCGACATATGCAGCCTGAAAGACAGTTGCATCTGTCAAGTAGGAAATTTAGGTACCGCTTTATGTTATGCCCCGGTGGCGCAGTGGGTTAAAGCACTGAGCTGCTGAGCTTGTTGATCGAAAGGTCGCAGGTTCGATTCCGGGGAGCGGCGTGAGCTTCCGCTGTCAGCCCTAGCTTCTGCCAACCTAGCAGTTCGAAAACATGCAAATTGAGTAGATCAATAGGTACCGCTCCGGGAAGGTAATGGCGCTCCATGCAGTCATGCCAGCCACATGACCTTGGAGGTGTCTACGGACAACGCTGGCTCTTCGGCTTAGAAATGGAGATGAGCACCACACCCCAGAGTCAGACACAACTGGACTTAATGTCAGGGGACTACCTTTACCTTTACCTTTTATGTTAATTTAACTAATTTACAACACCATAAAAATCTCCAGCAGCGTGCAAAAGAATGAGGAAGTATTCCATCAGTGTGACAAGTGGACGGTGAAGCGACAGCTCCCCCAGTGGCCGGAATTCGAAGCATACCCTCATGAAGCTGGAAAGTTAAATAGCCTCTGTGTGTGTATATGTTTTGTGTTATGCTAATAATATAATATAATATAATATAATATAATATAATATATACATATAATATTTATATTATAATGTAATGTAATATAATATAATACTAATAATAATATATTATGATTATATATTTATATTACATGTAATATTACTAATAATATTACAATTTTTAGTACAATATAGTAACATTTAATACTGATATATATATATATATATATATATATATATATATATATATTGTAAGCCGCTCTGAGTCCCCTTTGGGATAGAAAGGCGGCATGTAAATGTTGTAATAAATAAATAAATAGTGTCTATGGCATTGAATATTTGCCATGTATCTTTATTATTATTATTTACAGTATTTATATTCCGCCCTTCTCACCCCACAGAGGACTCAGGATGGATTAAAATGTACATATACATGGCAAACATTCAATGCCATAGACACACAACATATACAGACAGACACACAGAGGCTATTTAACATTCCAGCTTTTCTTGAGGGTATTTTGGCCACCAGGGGAGCTGTTCCTTCACTGATGGAGTACTTCCTCATTCCTCATTCTTTGCATGCTTGCTGGAGATTTTTATGGCCTCGTAAATTAGTTAAATTTGCCTCCCCGCATAAGTGGTACCTAAATTTCCTACTTGACAGATGCAACTGACTTTCGGGCCGCAAAGGTCAATAGCAAGCTACACAAATTGGTCAGACACTCACTCCGACCCAGGCTGGCTTCAAACCATAACATTTCGGTCAATAGTGATCTTAATACAGCTGACTCCCAGCCAGCTGCGCCACAGACCCGATAGAGATGGCAATGAACATATGTATATGTGCATTGTGATCCGCCCTGAGTCCCCTGCGGGGTGAGAAGGGCATAATATAAATACTGTAAATAAATATATTAATTCCCATCATCCCCAGACAGTGTAAAAGGTGGCAGGTTCTCAAAGAGCTCCTAATGACAGGTCCCTTTGCCGCCCCCAATGGACACACCCGGTATTGCACACTCTTGAGATTCTGCTCCAAACAGCAGACGTCTTAGCTCCAATGTGCACTCCTTTGCTGCCATCTAGTGGCCACATTGGAATATTACAGCCGAACCATCAGAGCTGGGCTCAAGAAAAAGGGTGCAATGTTCCACTTTGGCCACTGGATGGCGACAAAGGACCATCCCTTGGAGCCATGGCGTCCTGGACAAACAGGTTTAAGGAAGGAGCAGAATATATTTACATATTTTAAGGAATTCTACAAACCTTAAAATAATCTTGAGACAAATGTAACACATTTTTTGCAATATTGTTAAAAACTGATTTAACTGTATTATAAAAATATATATTTATTATTTTAATATTTGATTAAAGTATTTTTCCCTCTATTGTTTGTTTTGGCCAGTTGCTTAAGAATTCCGTTGCAGGGTTCAGAAACAATTAGCAAAAATATAATAAAAGAGAAAAGAAAAATGCTTTTATATTGAGTACATGTTTTCCGGATCTATTATTATTATTATTATTATTATTGGGCACTGAATTTATGCAAAGACAGGAACCATAAACAAAAGCAGATCGTCCTGTAATTAGAAATGCGATAGATTGTGCCTTCCACATGAAAAATACAAATATTTTTGCATAGGCCTTCTCAAAAGGTGCCATTGCAATGAATGGTTGCCAAATTCTGTTTGAGGTTTTTGTGGATCTTGTTGTTTTCTTATGTTAGTTTATTTTGCACCTTGCAAACGGCCTCTCCGCTGAACGAATAAACAATCCCAACGAAGAGAATGGAAAAAAATCATTCAGAAATGGAAAAAAATCAGAAATCAAAAAAAAAGGAACGCGGCTCCTTTAAGAGCTGTCAGGGGACACCACGCTGGACCCTGGCCACGCCTCCTTTTCCCTTGGAGGGGCGGAACCTTCGCGCTTGACAGACAGGTAACTTTCCACTCGGCCCCATGTGGTCAAGTTGAGTGCTCTGCCGCAAGCTCTGAGGCCACGCCCCCGCGGCGTTGATTGGCCGGCTGTATTCCCTATTAGCCACGCCCCCTTCTGGCTTTGACTCGGAGCTGAGCGAGCGAGCGACAAGACCTCTGGATCAGCAGGTCGGTGCTAAAGGCCACGCCTCCGTAGCTCTGATTGGCTGGCGGTGTGCCTCTACGCCACGCCCCTTCTAGATTGGAGCGAGAGCGACAAAAGAGGCAGGTCTGTTCAAAAGACCACGCCTCCTGATTGCTGGTTGGCCGAGGGGTGTTCCAAACCCCGCCCCTTTCTGAGTAGGATTGAACGAGAGAGACAAAAGAGGCGGAACCTCGCCTCTTGATCGGCAGATCAGCTCCGAAGGCCACGCCCCCGTTGCACTGATTGGCCGAGGGGTGTTCCAAGCCCGGCCCCTTTCTGAGTAGGACTGAACGAGAGAGAGAGAGACAAAAGAGGCGGAACTTCTCCTCTTGATCGGCAGGTCAGCTCCGAAGGCCACGCCCCCGTTGCACTGATTGGCCGAGGGGTGTTCCAAGCCCGGCCCCTTTCTCAGTAGGACTGAAGGACAGAGCGACAAAAGAGGCGGAACCTCTCCTCTTGATCGGCAGGTCAGCTCCGAAGGCCACGCCCCCGTTGTAATGATTGGCCGAGGGGGTGTTCAGCTTCAAAGGCCACGCCCCCGTTGCACTGATTGGCCGAGGGGTGTTCCAGGCCCCGCACCTTTCTGAGTCGGATTGATCGAGAGGAACAAAAGAGGCGGCGCCTCGCTTCTTGATCGGCAGGTCAGCTCCGAAGGCCACGCCTCCTTGGCACTGATTGGTCGAGGGATGTTCCAAGCCCGGCCCCTTTCTCAGTAGGACTGAATGAGCGAGCGACAAAAGAGGCGGAACCTCGCCTCTTGATCGGCAGGTCAGCTCCAACGGCCACGCCCCATGGCACTGATTGGTCGGCGGTGTATTCCAAGCCCCGCCTTCTTCTTGGTTGGACTCCGGGCTAAGAGAGAGAGCGGCGAAAGAGGCGGCGCCTCGCCTTTTGATCGACAGCTCAGCTCTAAAGGCCCCGCCTCCTTGGCCCTGATTGGCCGGCGGTGTGTTCCAGGCCCCGCCCCTTTCAGGGTTGGATTCCAGGCTGAGCGAGAGAGCGACAAAGGAGGCGGCGCCTCGCATCTTGGTTGACAAGTCATCTCCAGAGGCGGCACTGATTGGCCGTTGATGTGCCTTAGGCCCCGCCCTCGAGTTGGAGCCCCGCCCCCTCGACTCCTAGTCTCCCGGCTGGGCTTGCAAGCGCCGGGACTGGGTTGCCCAGGCATTTGGACGCCGAGGAGGCCCCGAAAATGATCCTCTGCCCGCCGAAACAGTGCCAGAGGCTGCAGGTAGGAGGGAAAGGCTGCAAAGGGAGGGAGGGACCTTGCAAAGAACTCTCTCTGCAAAAGGAGAGCCTTTCCATTCACTTTTTTGCAATGGGGAGAAATAAAGGGGGCTCAGCTCATTTGCACCCCCCTAAAAAGTCATATCCGCCCCTTTGAATGGCCTTCAAGTGGGAGACAGACCCTTCTCCAAGAATAATATTATTTTGCCTCCTTTCCCCCCTCTTAGGAAAGGCAGCCCCGCCCCCTTTGGACCCCCCCCCCAAAGAAGCCCGAGAAAGGACCCCCCAAATCCCATTAACACCCCTTGGACCCTTTAGGACCCTCACAAAAGAAAGGCCTTTTCAATGGTGGCCCCCCAAAGCCTTGTTTGCCATTCATTCATCCACTTTGCTGGGCTTTGTGGGGCTTATCAAGGGGGGAGGGGGTGCTGCAAAAGGGAGGGGGGGTCTTTCAGCACTCTCCCCACCCCCCTTCCCCTCCCCCCACTTTACTGGGGGGAGGGGGAGGGGGAGACCCCAAATTGGGGGGCAAGAGTGAGCCCCCCTTTTGTGGCTGCCCCCCTCCCCCTGTTTTGGCCCATGGAGGGGCTCTCTCAGCTTCCCCTTTGTCCCATCCGGAGGGGAGGATGATGGGGGATGATGGGGGATGCTGCCTCCCCTCCCCCCTCCCCTTCCCCTTCTCCTCCGCGCTGCCAATCAAACTTGTTTTTCTCTTTCTCTTCCTGCGCTTCCCCGCCGGCGCCGCTAGGGGCGCTCGAGGGCAGCTTTTCTCTGCAGCAGAGGCTTTAATGGGATTCTCTCACATTGTTGTTATTATGTGTTCAATTGGGGGGATTGGCCATAGACTGGGGCCACAATGGGGCTGTGCTTTGGGGTGCTCTGGATCCAAAGAAGGGGGTTTTCCCTTTTGTGCCTTGCCCCAGATTTAATTCTGGTGTGTTAATCTTTGTTCCAGGCATGTTATTTGAATGCTCTTGGGTTGCATCTGAGTGTCTTGAGCCCAGTAACAAACAAAATGATACTAATAATAGTAATAATAACAACAAATTAGTATTAGTCATAATAAATTAGGAAAAGTAATGGTAATACATGAGTAAAAGTAATAATAATAAATTAGTAATACTAATAGGCAATAATATCTGAGTGTCTTGAGCCCAGTAACAAACAAAATGATACTAATAATAGTAATAATAACAACAAATTAGTATTAGTCATAATAAATTAGGAAAAGTAATGGTAATACATGAGTAAAAGTAATAATAATAAATTAGTAATACTAATAGTAACAATAATAACAAAGTAGTGTTACTAATAATAAATTAGGAATAGTAATGGTAATACATTAGTAATAGTAATAACAAAATATTAGTAATAGTACTAGCCAATTAATATTAGTCGTAATAAATTAGTAATACTAATAGTAATAATAATACATTAAAAATAGCAATAAATTAGTAATAATAGAAAATTCGTAATAGTAATAGTGATAAAATAGTAATAATAATAAATCATTATTAATAATAAATTAGGAACAGGAATGGTAATACATGAGTAATAGTAATAATAATAAATTAGTAATACTAATAGGCAATAATATCTGAGTGTCTTGAGCCCAGTAACAAACAAAATGATACTAATAATAGTAATAATAACAACAAATTAGTATTAGTAAAAAAATTAGGAAAAGTAATGGTAATACATGAGTAATAGTAATAATAATAAATTAGTAATACTAATAGCAAATTAGTATTAGTCATAATATCTGAGTGTCTTGAGCCCAGTAACAAACAAAATGATACTAATAATAGTAATTATAACAACAAATTAGTATTACTAATAAAAAAATTAGGAAAAGTAATGGTAATACATGAGTAATAGTAATAATAATAAATTAGTAATACTAATAGCAAATTAGTATTAGTCATAATATCTGAGTGTCTTGAGTCCAGTAACAAACAAAATGATACTAATAATAGTAATAATGACAACAAATTAGTATTAGTCATAATAAATTAGGAAAAGTAATGGTAATACATTAGTAATAATAATATTAAAAAAATTGTAATACTAATAGCAAATTAGTATTAGTCGTAATAAATTAGTAATACTAATAGTAATAATACATTAAAATAGTAATAAATTAATAATAATAGAAAATTCGTAATAGTAATAGTGATAAAATAGTAATAATAATAAAGTAGTGTTACTAATAATAAATTATGAAAAGTAATGGTAATACGTTAGTAGTAGTAATAATAATAAATTAGTAATACTAATAGCCAATTAGTATTAGTCATAATAAATTAGTAGTACTAATAGTAATAATAATACATTAAAAATAGCATTAAATTAGTAAAAATAGAAAATTTGTAATAGTAATAGTGAAATAATAATAATAATAAATTGCTATTATTAATAATAAATTAGAAATACTAATAACAAAATAGTAATAGTCATAATAGTGATAAATTAGCAGTACTAATAACAAGTTAGTATTAGTAATAATAAAATAGTAATGGGAATGCATTAGTAATAATAATAAATTAGGAATACTAATAACAAAATAGTCATAGTCATAATAGTAATAAATTAGCAATACTAATAACAAGTTAGTATTAGTAATAATAAAATAGTAATGGTAATGCATTAGTAATAGTAATAATAATAAATTAGTAATACTAATAACAAATTAGTATACTAATAATAAATTAGGAAAAGTAATGGTAATACATTAATAATAGTAATACTAATAAAATGGTAATACTAATAACAAAATAATAGTCAAAATAGTAATAAAGTAGTAATACTAATGCTGAAATAACAAATTAGTATTACTAATAATAAATTAGGAATAATAATGGTAATACATTAGTAATAGTAATAATAATAAATTAGTCATAATAGTGATAAATTAGTAACTAATAACAAAATAGTATTACTAATAATAAATTAAGAATAGTAATAATAAATTAGTAATACTAATAACAAAATAGTAATAGTCATAGTAGTAATAAATTAGCAATACTAATAACAAATTAGTATTAGTAATAAAAATAGTAACAGTAATAATAATAAATTAGAAATAACAATAAATTAGTAATAATAGCAAATTGGTAATATTAATAGTGACAAAATAGTAATAATAATAACAAATTAGTAGTAATAATGCTAACAACAAATTATTATTTATTTTGTTATTAATCTTTTATTATACTATAGTTATTATATATATCTTAGCATGCATATTAGTAATAGTAATATGTCGTAATGATTGTTAATATAGTAATATATTATAAATATATAAAATATACCATAATATATATAAAGTATATATTTAATACAGTGTGTATATATATGCACTGTATATTTAATTATTTTTATTAATAATTTACTATGCTATTAATATGCATAACATATATATGTTATATATATTAGTAAGAGTAATATACTATGTGTTGGTAATTTATTTATAGCCCGAAAAAACCTACAACAACCCTATTTATTTATTTATTTTGGGCATTTCTTTATCCTGTCCTTTTCACCTCCGAAGAGGGACCCAGGACAGTTTACAGCGGGCAACCATTAGATGCCAAAAAACCCCAATACATTAAAACACACAATTGCAATTAAAACAATGATAAGCATTCAATTAAAACAGTTCGACAGTTAAATCCAATCAGTCCATTGTAGTCCACTAAAACATTCTCTTCCCAGTTGATCAATTTATTGCAAAAATGCAATATACCAATGATTGTTAAGGGTTAGGGTTAGGGTAATATATTATTATAAATATTATTATACATAAAGTATTATATTCTATTATATTACTATATTATATATTATGTTGTATACGGTATATTTTATTAATAATGTATTTTACTATTATTATGTTATATATATAATTAATAATATATTGCACTATAATAATTTTTAATATTTAATATGAATATATATAATGCTATATGCTTTATATGTAATTTTTGTTTTTAATGATTTATACTATTATTTATATAATATATATATTTTATACTATATATACATATCATATCATATATATCTTATATATATTAATAGTAATGTTATACTATAATTAATATAATATATTATTATTATAAATATAAATATATATAATAATATACTGTACTATATGGTATGTTGTATATATATATAATTATCTATATAAATAAAAATGTAATGTTCATTTGTGGGATTAACATAACTCAAAAACCACTGGACAAAATGACACAAAATTTGGACACAATACACCTATCAGGTCAACAAGTGACCATCACTCATAAAAACACTAAAAAAACACAGCAGAAGGGACTTAAAAAGCCAAAAAAAAATTACATTAGAATGCATGTGCAAAATCACATCTATACACAAACACACAAAAATAGATACACACACATATGCACATATATATACACACACAAAAACACATATACACAGACTGGGCCACAGCAACGTGTGGCAGGGGACGGCTAGTATTATATATATAAATGTAATGTTCGTTTGTGGGAGTAACTGAACTCAAAAACCACAGGACTAATTGACACCAAATTTGGGCACAATACATCTATCGAGCCAATGAGTGACCATCACTCATAAAAACACTGAAAAACACAGCAGAAAGGACTTAAAAAGAAAAGCCCCAAAAAAGATACTACAGCGCATGCGCAAAACGACTTCCCCTGGCAAACAAAACACACAATAGCATATCCACACTCTCGTTCGGACTACAGCTTCCAGCATTCCCTAGACCAGGCCATTTATGAGAGAAGGATGATCCAAATGCACTGCTTCCAAGATGCAAGCTTTCTTCTCCTTGGATTTCTTTGAGAGCATCCCAATCCCTGCAATTCCCAGCAATCCTCCAGATAGATAGATTAGATAGAGATAGATAGATAGGTAAGTAGGTAGATGGATTAGGAGGACTGCTGGGAGTTGCAGTCCAAGAATAGGTAGAGAAGGAAGAGAGGGGAGAGAGGAATGGAAAGTAAA